AAAAAAGGTGATGATCTTGTAGTACAAGTGGCGAGTTGAAAATTTTTTGCGAAATAATCTCGATCATTATTGAGCTTCTCGTATAAAATTTAATGAGAAGTGCCCTGACAACATGGCAAAACAAGCTTCTATGATAACAATATAACAAGTTTCAACACTGAACAAAAACAACAATAACAGTAAAGTAACAAAGGCCATATCAATCAAATATGAGAAAATTTGAAGAGGGACGAAGAACAATCATTCTATATAATGACTAAGTCGCTCTGTAACTGATGCTCTGTTTACAACGAAAGTGAAGAAAAAAGAATGAAAGATCCACAGTAACACTTTGTCCGACATTCATCGTATGCATAGTGCATCCAAACGTTATCTACGTCTCTTTCGCGACTTCGTTATTTCATTTGAAGGTGGTCGAAGGAGACGAGCTGCTCTTAGAGATTCTGTCCTTGATGCCTCCTCCACGTTGCATTGGATTATTTCACAACCAAGGCCTGTCAGCATCTAGAACGACGTAAAGCGCTTAAATGCAGAAAAGAAACACAAGAACGAATCTACACAGAATTATTCACGCCAAACTAGAAGATGCAGAAATCTGAGTGGTCAGTTATGTTGCTCACTCCACATTTACATAGAACGGGCAATCACATACAGACCCTAAGACAAAAATTGGCACATGAAATCACTAAACTCGCATGCACCTCTATTCGTAGCGCAGGCAGTGCGTGTGCACGATCTTATTGCTGTTATCCCATGTGTCTATCCCAGTTAAGATTTAACAGATTCAAAAGATTATTTACAGGCAAGCCTTTTCCTTTTATGGAAGAAAATATCTTTATTAAAGCATTGAGCATACCTTCTCCAAAAATCGAGGACTTGTCCTTAAAGCAGTTTGCCACGGAGTGATGGGAAGCGAACAAGCAGGGCCTAAATAGCTTTCTTATTTTTTGGAGTAATATTCAAGTGGGTATTTAAATTTACACCCCAAAAAAACGTCACATGGATCTTCTTTTAAAAACATAAAACTTCGTACGGCGGATGGTTGCAAATTCAGAAAAGTGGAACGTACTCAAAGTTAGACCCAATGCAAGCAGATGAGCAACAAGTTTGTCCTTCTCTAACGATGATACTGCTAATCGAGCAGCTTGTCGACCATTTACTCCGCGATCAAACTGTGCAGCTAGAAAATGATTTTGAAGAGTTTAGAGCGCAAAGTCTGACAAAAGACAAAACCCACAAACGAATTCTCCCATAACCTTTTGAACGAACACTTCGGGAAAAGGTATCGCTTCAAATTCTTTCTTCAGTATTGACTTTTTCGTGAACAACTGCAGCATTGATCAGTTAGATACGGAAAAAGAGGACAGCAAGAAATTACTTACTGCTGACATGTAAGTCATACATCCCAACAACGTGAATGGAACTCCCAACGAGGTGTCTTTGCAAGCAGTCATGGGCAGCATTTTTAAAACAACTTCTGGAAAACCTGCAAAATAAAAAGCATCATGTCCGATTTTTAACGAATGAAGAATTGTTTACATCAAGCTAAAAATGAAGATTCAAGAGATTACGATTCCCAACCTTTACAAAAATGGGAAAAGCTCCTATCTCGGCTGCTTTATGCATAAACTGCATCTTGCTATTAGGTTCATTATAAGACGGCATCTTACGGTAAACCTAACAGCAAAACCTAGTCTTTCTTGATTACAACGAAACAAGAGAATGACTATTCCTCTAAGCTTGACTCGCGCGTGTTGCTTTGTTCGCTTCGCAACAACGCAACTTTTTAATGGGATGTAGCTTGAACACTGGCATCCTCCCCTCCCAACATGGTCAACCGGAAAACACACGAGCACAGAGAAAGTGCAGAACAATGAAAAAAGGCAAGATTGCGGAGTAGCTCGGCGCCACTATAGCGGTACCAAATAATTGCCGTATTTCACCGAATAAAAA